TTTAGCTTGCAATCACCCTTTTCTTTTCTTGTACTTCCCTGAATAAATAAATTTATTTGTGGCTATTAGTCTGTCTCGTTGTTCAAATAACAACATCAGAACCTGCCTCAGTCACACATTGTACAAATATGGCTTAGGTTAAAGTGCTATAAATACTCCATATTCAGAGCTTTCATCAGTCTTGTGTTACATGACAAGGAGAAATTTAGAGAGCATCCTTTAGTCATTTGATGCTTTCAAGGAATTTTTTATTGAAAGCCATCTCCTCCCATAGTAGAAATTGGGATGCAAAAGTTGTGCTTAGTGTTAAGTTTACTACCACAGTTTTTCACTATGTGCCAGCTGCCAGCTGAGAAACAGGTGTAGCAGGCTGTTTTTCAACCAGGGTTACAAAAGACCAGAACAAAATCAAGAAACTAGATTTCTTTTTAAGCCTGCTCATTTATGATCTTAGCTGGCAGACTCTTTCCTTATCTTCAGCCTGGCTGCCACTCTAGGATCTCATTTTAAACCTCACTATGTTGGTGACATGTTGGGTGACATGTGTAGTATCCTGTATGTACCCCCCCCATAGCTTTTGTTTTGTAACCATGTGCTTTTAAAGATAATATATGTTTGAGCTCTTCTTGTTCCAGTATTCTGTCATTTCTTTTGCTGAATAGCTAATTGTTACACTGTTGTTATGCCTCGCCACTGGACAGCAATGCCAAACAGTTCACAACTTTGACATAAACTATACTCATGACATGGAGGATAGATTCAGAGTAATGGTCCTGGAGAAATTGAAGAAAACTATACCCAAAAGACATTTAGCACCCAAAGATCTAATTGCCTCTAAACATGACAAGAAATTTTGTGTAGTAGAATACCCAACAGACTCTCTGGAACAAACAAAGTAGAATCAGAAGATACCTCTTGATTAATACTTGGCTCTGCCAAGCAATTTTCCTCTGTGTCTAAGGAGATCATCTCCAGATGAATTAATTTAAACAAGTATTTGAATTATATGTTAAGTAGTGAAATCACGTTGTTTCATAGAGGAATTTATGTTAAGTGTCAGGCGTTCACATAGAAAGGACTGGACATCCTGGTAGATGTCATATGACATAAGAAAAAAACCTTGTGCCAGAGAGAACCTAGCAATAAAAAAGTTGTGAGGATAATCTTATGTTCACTTGGTAAAGAATACATGTGGAAAACCTAAAACCATGTGGATACTCTGTGTAACATATGGCATGGACATAACAAATTATTCTGCCCATAGCAGCAGAGCTGCATCTATATTCTTCTGTAACGCTAAAAGACTAAACATTCCAGAGATTTTGAAAAGTGAAAGGTGGTCTAATTCAAGCACCTTTACAAAAAACTGTGAAACCAATAGATAACTCACCAACCAAATTTATTTCTGACCTTCATGTTCATGTAACATCTGACATATAGCCTTCACTTTTAGTTTGTTAGTTATCTGTAGATACAGCCATCATTTCTTTTTTTAACTTTTAAACACAACACAAGGAATCACCATCTAGAGAGTTTTGTATGTAGAAATTTATCCCTTTATAGAGTTTTGTCTGGCAGTTGACATCTTATTTATGTCAGATTTTACATATGTAATGTAGAGTAAATTATTTTTCTCATGAGAATCTTTTTAATCATTGTTGTAATGACGTAGGAAGATCCCCATCAGAGAGTTCTAATAAAGATATTCAATTGTACTGCTATTTTTCACATTTTAATTTTGATTAGCTTCACCATTCTGTTTACATTATGATATTAACCTTTCTAGATAATGCAATAAGTTGAAAGTTTTAAGTTGTAATCATCCACATTTGATCACTTTTTCCATCCTCGTTTAAGTCTGTATTTTTCTTTTATTTTTTTCCGTCTCTTGTATGAAAGTAACAAGTTTTGACATCCCACAAACCAGCAGTGTACTATTTTTTTTAAATACATAAATTTACTTGCCTGCCTAGCTCTGCTAGCCTAATTGATTATTAAAGGCAGCCACCACTCTCGTTACACTTCTCAGAACACAAATAAAGGTTTTTGTTATAATATTTTGGAGAACACTGCTAGTAGAAATTTACATGTTACACATGCAATTAAAGCACTTTGACAATTCCTTCGAGTAATTTATCCATTTAAACTACACCAGAGCCACAAAACTTCTGTTGAATCACTAAAAACTAGAGCTTCTGGCAAAATATTGGAAGTATAGTTACACAGATTTACAGTTACTTACCAAAGCAATTTTAACATATTGATACAAAAAGACATCCTCCATGAAACCATCCACAACACTCATCGCAGAAATATTACCCGTCTTCAGACACAAGCTGAAATCATAAATTCAAAGTTTCCATCAACAATTTTAGTTATTGTGTTTTGTTAGTTTAGTGGCACAATTTATCTACCAACTTCTGTTCAAAATTTGTAAAATGAATGAGAACCTATAAGTCACTAAAGTAGTATTTACTTATCCAAACAAATTCTCGAGCCTGTAATAGCTTGCCACTTACCCATTTGATGTGTTTGAAAAAACACCAGGGCCGGAAAACTTGGTCAAGTAAATGAATTGGAGGCTTAATTACTGATGAACTTTACGGGAAAATATCATCCAACAATAAACTCCGCATGTCTATACCTTTTTCCCCACTCAAGCCATAAAAGTTTTGTTTAGAATTATAATAGAGTTCGAGTAAACAGGAACAGCCAACAATTCAATAAAATAACAATTTGGATTAACGACCTTCTAATTTGTGACGCTTGTGCTTCAAACTTTCCTTAAAGTAAACTTTTGTTGATCCAGATTAATTCTCACGTTTAAAAAAACAACGAAATGAGAAACATAATTGACACTAGTTTACACTTGTAATCATCTTCTACCGAAAATATAACGAAAGAAATTAAAAGACAAAAAAAAAACTATTGGCTGTGCAAACAAACGTAGCGCTTCGCTGTCATCCGCAAAGTCATAAAACTTGGACGGCACACTCATCGCAGCAAATGATTGTTATATTTGTGAGACCTACCGTGGTAATTATGGCTATTTCAGCGACGTTTCTCTGCAAACATCAACTTTCTCTGACTTGCGACGTGACAGAAACAGCGCTACTCAAACTTTCCGCGCTTTTTTAGCTCGCAAAGTCTCTTGGGACTGAATTGTTGGCGGGAATTATTTTCGAACGAGAAGTCTGCCAGTTAAAAGGTGAGAGTGAAATCTTGAATCTTTTATCCAGTCTCTTTCGGTAAAGCACAGTACCGAATTCAAAATACTGCAGCAGAGAGCAAACTAGTTGTGAATTTAATAGGTGTTCGTTAATCAAGCGAAATTCAACTCTGTCAGTCTCTGCATGGAATCCTTATGGGCGCGCTTTTCAAAATCAAGCGAGCGATGTTTCATATCAAGTAGTTTAGCTTGAAGGCAAGAGTTGAATTGTGATGTGTCAGTCTCCTACAGTACTATGGCGTTGTTTTCGTTTCCACAGCAGATATCAGTCCGGCAAGTTTTTCCTGTCAAATTCGGCTTTAAACACAGCAATGATTGGATTGAGGTCGAACGAACGTAACACATCGACGACATGTGCACCACAACTTATTATTGTGGAAGGAAACATCGGGGTTGGCAAATCCACTCTGTCTTGTCAGTTAGCTAGAAAGCTCAACTATCGCGTCTTTTTGGAACCCACAACGAAGAATCCTTACTTGGAAAAGTTCTACAAGGATCCGAAGAGATATGCTTTAAAACTACAGTTATGGATCTTCAAACAACGATTCAGGACTTACATTGCAGCAACCAAACATGTCCTTCAAACCGGTGGGTAGCTTCTGTGCAGTCAAGCTTTCTATGCTATCAGAGCAATTTTACCTAATTTTTTTTTTTGAGAACAGCTATTTATTAACAAATTAAAGAAATTGGATCGTTATAGATCTCCATTTTGTAAGAAAAAAACATTCTGATCTTTTTCAGAACTCTAAAATATCTTTGGAGCTTAAACCCTTGTTCAGGAAAGTCAGGAGATACTCACCTTTAACTGTAGCATGTGATGAATCTCTCATTCAAATGTTGTTGACATGTTGCCTAGAGAGGCAGCAAATAAAAGGTCCTTAGTTATCAGCATATAAAAGCTTTTTTAGGTGTAAGAATGGACTCAAAAATCTTCACACTATGGTTGAATATGTCCTGTGAAACTTATATTTTATTCCACAGGCAATAAATGTATTTGTCATTTAATCACTCACATCAGTCTCACATGTGCCATGAAATTGAATTCACTAACATGTGAATGTGATAAATCTCATTATGTCAATATTTTTTACAGGCCAAGGAGTGCTGTTAGATAGATCAGTTTTCAGTGATACAGTATTTGCTGATGTGAATTTTCAACAAGGGACAATATCTCTAGAAGGTATGAAGTCTATTAGGCCTCACTCCTTATGTGGAGAATGTTATAACTTTCCTCCAGTAAGCACCCATGCTCTAACAAGTGCCTTCCCCTGATTAAGCACCTACCCCCTTAGGCCTTAATACCAAACAAGTGCCCCGTGTCAAGTAAGTGTCCCCCTTCTTCTGTCACTCTTTTAAATGGAAGAGATACAAGGAAAACCTATTTCTATTACCACTTTACTTTTACCTTTCTAAGCTTCAATTAAAGTAGAATCAGCTCAGGTTAATAATAAGTGTATAGATTGTACATTCAATTGTATTCTTTTGTACTCATATAAATTAGCCCAACTATCTCATCTTTGGGTTGTAGTTTTAATGTCTCTCAAAGATACTGACTAGGCCAGGTGGGCTAATCTTCATGAATACAAAAGAATACTAATCAAGTCCACCATTTATGCATAATGTCTATGGTATACAGCAAAGCTGATTGGTTGTGAATGTCACAATCCAAATGCAGTCAAACTGTTACTAAATCTTATTTGTGTAACTAGCTACAAGAAATTGATGAGATTTTAAATTGTTTTTAATCTGTGGTCTTGTAATAACTGGTAATCCTTCTGTACATGATCTATAGTTTAGATTAATTAGCTAAAAACAGTATATTAAATTGGTGTTAAGAGGGAATGATTGAAAGGTGTTATTTATAATTGAAACACAGCTTTAGACAGCACATGTTCATAATCAGACCACTTTGATGCTGTCGTGCATGGATTTGCATGAAACCATGCATATTGTAACTTAGCATGATAAAAAGTTGGGTCAAACATAAATTTTACAAGTGGTTTTTAAAAAAAATGAAGAGGTGGTAATTCAGTGTTTAATTGGGTCCTGAATTTAAGTGGAATACAATCAAAATTGTTTTATTAATCATTGCATCACCAGAGATTGATAATTTTTGACATCTTAAATTTCATTTTGTGATAGGTTATGAATATTACAAGGACTTGAAGAAAAAAGCTTTACAGTCAGTTCCAATTCCTCACACTACCCTGTATCTTGATGTCTCTCCTGAGACTTGCCATGAGCGCATCCGTAGACGAGGAAGGGTATTGAACAGTTAATTTCTATATTAACATTTATTTCTCATAGCAGAGTTGAGAGGAAAAAGACCCTCTGACTTGTTAACCAAACCTGAAATAACTTTCTCTTCCTAAAAATGCATCTTAATTAATCTTATAATTGAATGAGAGAGTTGTGGAACTTATTAAATTTTTTTTCTTTTTTTTTTATGATAACTACCCGTTGTTCACAAAGTTATAGCAGCAACTTAAAGAAGTCTGTAGATTTTACTTTTTCTATCCATCCTTTCCCTTTCTGGGAGAAGAGAACTTCTGTCTGATCATTTTCTCAACGTGATCAGCGTTAGCCCTTCAACCCTTATGGGTGACCAAGACCATTTCTCCTTACAACATTTAAATAATATCAAGCAGACAAGTGATGACAATAAGGACAAATCTCAGTGAGCAGATTACTGGTTGATCCAATTCAAAATTCTCTGAAGTGACATCATGAGAAGTGTATGGCAGACAGCAAGGAGAATCACTAAGTGATGAGATCTTGGGAGTAAAAGGGTTCAATCAGCCTTGATTATCCCAGATTTGTTGTACTGTTCTATTTTTCAGGCTTGGAATTTTTACCAGAAGGTGCAATCACAAATTTGTCTCATTATGTTTATTAATGTAACCCAGTTAACAGACCCCTTGCCACTCATTGTGCTTTTTTTTTCAACTCAACCATTTTCACAAACATACTCCATAGGATTATGAAAGTGGGATTCCCCTAGAATACCTTAAAGGACTTGATGCATCCTATAAAAAGTTCTTGGAGGAAATGAGGTTAGACAAAACCTTTCCAATGATGTTTGTCTTGTTTTTCTTTCTAGGAAGTTTAAGGTACATAAACAAGCAGTCTTGCTGATAATTGTCAGTTGAAACCCTAGAAAGAGCATAGATATTTAATTTCAATAAGTCTCAAAATTATTAAGCCACTGCAACCACTTTTGAAGCCAAGTACCCAGGAGACTGTTACAAAATCATTGCATTACTCGCATGTGACATAGTTCCCTTTGTTAATACATTGGAAACAGTAATTTGGCTCTTAAAGTTTTGAAAGTAGTTTGAAGAAAATGATAAGGAATTCCTATTCCATGTGAGTTACACCAGTGCCTCCAATCTTTGTCCTAAGTCATGCAGTTATGTAATCTAACAAACAAATTTTTTTTTATGTTGTTAATTTAAATTCAAGACAAGAGATAATAATAATGGTAGATCTGTATCCTTTAGGCTTATTGTGTTGAATTTTCTATTGTAAGGTCACTCTTATTTGCACTAAGGGTATTCACATGAGAAAGGGATGACTGTCTCTATATTTGCAGAAATGTTAGATCCAGAGTTTTGGAATATAATTGGACAGATTTTGGATATAACTTTGAAGTGAGTATAATAGTTGATGTACTTCATACTGTATGTATGTTACTGGACTTGTGCCTTACTTTGCAATAAAAGGACTACGGGGGGGAAAAAAGTTGCTTTAAATGCACCTCTTTATCAGGAGAATGAGAGCATACTTAAATTGTATCAGTTCCATGTAAGAAATAAGTTATTATTTAACCACATTTTAATGATGATCTCAACCCCCAAATCAGTAAGTTGTTCTTTCTTTGCAAGGATGTAAAGTTCAAATGAAACTTCTTGTGAAACTATGTTGTTTAATTGCCTGTCACTTTTCTTTTTTTTTTTTGGCTTAAGTATTATGGTTTTGTGTTCCATTAGGTTGCAGAAGATATTAAAAATGGTGTTGTTTCAAGCTGGAAGGAAGAAGATCTATATGTCTTTAACAAACTGTAAGTTTTACTTAATTTTTTTGAGGAGGTAATATCAACACATACATTTAAATTTGATTGAAAGGTAAGAAAGAGGAAAGGTATAATAATGTTTTAAAATTACTTTGCTGAGGTATAGAGTATTTAAGATTTGCATTATTCTGCTTCAGAGTATCAGATGAATCACTCATCAAGGAAGCATTGATGCTAAATCATTTTGTTCCAGAGGCTGATATCAGTGAGGAAGAAGAGGTTTGCATAACTTTTTTCTTTCATCTGCTTTTTATAACAGTTTACAGCAATCAATAGATAAGAACCACTGCAATGTATTGGCAGATCACAAAGGAAAATTATTGAATAAGGAAGATGGTGAATTTTGAGCTTAGCTATGAGAAAAGGAAAGATCTTTGTGTCTGTCAGGTCTGGAACACTTAAAAAAGCATTTTGTTCCCCATTAGGAATAAAACTGAAGCCTTAATGCTTTTCCCTCCAATGTCCTGCCACTGATTTACAGGCAAATTGATGATGATCTAGGCCATGCTGGGATTGGCTGAGTAGTAAAAAAGGAAAGTTGTATGAGGGAGTTACCATGGAATTAAAATCAGGGAATTGAAAGAGTGGTTTGAATTACAGCATCTTTAAAAGAAAGGTGCCCTTTAACCCTTTAACTCCCAAGATCTGATTGATAATTCTCCCTTCCTGCTGCTTCACATTTCCTTGTAGATTAGTTATGAGAATTTGGTGTTAGATCAGGATAAAAATTCTACCTGGTACACTTGAATACTATCATTGCCTGTTTGCTGTATAATGCATAAATATCATAGGAAGAAGTTTCATGTTAATCACTTCTGGGAGTTAAGGGCTGAAGTGTTTTTTCATCAGGGCTACTGGGGTTTCAGTAGATCCAAGGAAGTACGAGTGGCTTTCACTGATACAAGAAACTCTCAACTTTTGAGTGACAAGCAGTTACTTTTAAACTAGACTGCAAATAAGACATTTCTATCCATTTTTGTGCATTTTGTTTCGTGGTAATCTCATCTCTTAGGTTAAACTTTTGTTTGCTTGTTACCTTTATTTGCTCTTAATGCATGCCCTTTCCAGTGTTTTTCTTTGATCAGCTATTTAAGTAAGGTTTTTTTTTTTTTTAGGATGATACTTCAACAGTAGAACCACAATCCCAGCCTACATGTAAATCAAAGCAAATCAGTGAGACATCAAATGCAAGTTCATCGCAGAAGTTAGAGTCATATTTGGAAAGTTAATTGCTGTAACTTCCTTAACTTAGTTAAAAAGTCCCAATCTTAACAATTTTGCTAAAACGCTATGTATTTATTGTGATCTGCTAAACTTTTATAAATTTCATATCTTAACAGCACAATCTTGGTTGTTAATAGACAAAAAAACCAGATTTGTAAAGATCCAATTTTTGGTGAAAGATAGTTCCATGATCACAAACACAGAAGTGAACAACATTATAGTGCATTTTCAATATTGAAATTAAAAGCTTTTAAAAATGTTTTTTATCAACTGATAAGAATGTTGGACAAAATTATACATTCTTTCTAATCATTTTAAAGAGTCAACTGGGTTATTTATGTGTATTTTAGGCTTGAATAGCCCAGGATTCAAATTTCACCTCGCAACAAAGGTTGTTATTGCCATTATACAGAGTGAAGCTACTTTGCCTAGGAAGAGTTTACTTTGTCAAGTCTGGCCTATTTTTGTTAATGGCTTTGGTTTGGTGGTATTTTCCAAAAATTCTGAGTGTTTCTCATTGTTCCCAGAAAGGTCACTGTTTTGTCATTTGTCATTTGTCATTTGTCATTTGTCATTTGCCAAGAGACCGTTTAAGGAAAATTTTAAAAATTCCTAGAACTTACTATATTTTTATAAAAGCCCACTGAGTCTCTCCCCCCACTCAAAACACACCCCCCCCCACCCACTTTTGTTCCTGCAAGTTGCTGGCAATCATTTGTTGTAAAACCAGAATGGATGAATTATCTATGAATAATACACTTGTGTATTTGGAATGTATTTGGTGTTATTTCCATCAAATAAATCGGCATTTTAACCTACCTGTATACTTAGTTTTCTAAGTTTTATTAGCAGAACATATTTTCCTTGTAAAATAACGGGCATGGTTGGCCATTTTTGGTGGGCTAAGAGATGAGTGGTGGAGGTGCAGGCAACTATCTTCTGTCCAAAGCCTTTTGCATGGTGCTCATCTCTTAAGGGAGCACAAAACTGCCAGCTGCATAGGCTACAGTACTGCTTTCCATGCTCAGAAGGTCGTCAATGATGGTAGCAATTATTTTTCTCAACAGGAAATCAAGAAACACCTTGATTGAGTGATAACTTTTACTTTTTTAGAACAAACCTCTTCATATTCAGTCATTAAAAATCAAGGAATTTCAAGCATGAATTTTCTTACTCCCAAAATTGGATTATTAAATCCCCTCAGTTGCTACACATTTCCTTGTAAATTAGTGAGGATAATGTGGTGTGGTATTCTCATTACCTGTCTGTTTGATTGTGTAAGGTTATTATAGAGAGAAGTTACATGTTAATCACTTGTCAACTTGAAGGGATTGACTAACAAGCCTATCACTTTGAAGCTTCAACATCCTACCCACTGGTATTTGACCGTTGCCATGCCCTGGGGGGTGAAAATTTGAACCTTAACTGGCCGGGTTGGGGACATTGAACTAGAAGTGTTAAGTGTTTAAAGGTAAAGAGTTCACTTTTGCGAGCAAATGGCTCAGAAAATAATGTCTGCAAGAGTTGTCATGGTTGCTAATTTTTCCCTTTTACAAAAAAAGTTGACCATCAAATCCAGCACTTGGGTAAGGCATTTGAACACAATTTTGGTCCTGGAGCGGGAATTTATCAAACCAATCCTCAAAAATTCAAATAGCCAGGAATTATGCAGAGGGAGAATGTTAAAGCTGCCAATTAATCGACACATAAGTCTTGATCCTGCGGGTAGACATAACCATTTCGCCTCTCTCAATTGCAGCTACCAAGAAGAAATTGTTTGTTTGCAAACACTGTAGCTGCCAGTTCATAAAATCAACATAAATGTTATGGGCAAATTTCACAAGCAAATGTCATGGGGCTGCAAGGGGTTACACCCATTGTTTTATATGCTAATCTGCATAAGACCCAATTACCGGTAAGTTGAAATATGGTTTATGAAAGAGAGCAGAAGCTAACGGACAAGTCTTCTGAAGTCAGCTGTCTATTTCCAATCTAAACAGAAGTCCTTAAAAACGAGTTGTGGTTTTTTTTTTGTTTTTTTTTTTTTGTTTTTTTTAACGGGTTAAATGTTTTTTTTTTTCAAAACAGGTTAAATCCAAATTCGAGACGGTATGTTTCTTGGTAACTTAAAATCGTTTTACATTGAAATGGGGTGTTTGGTGGGAGAAAATTAAATATTCTTATTAAAACTTGCGTCTCAAACTCGCCTAAAGCATCCACATTCTCCATATACCGTATTTACCCGTGTATAATGCGCACTTTTTTTCCATAAAA